AGCTTTTAGAAAGATCCTCTAATGTGATGTGAGGTTAGATTTTCCCAGGAACAGCATATTGTTCATCCTGCAGGCTCAAGAGATTTCTTTGGAAGGAAAACGCAGAGAAAGACAAAAGCAGGGAGGTAGGCTGAATTTATAGAGACCCAAAAGCACTGAGCTATCTCTTTAAGGAGAACTGCTTAAGTGTAATTTGGAAACATCTGGCTGCTCTTGTTAACTGCTTGCTAATGTAAAGAGTGGGCTCAAGCATAACCACGATTGTGAGGATGATGCAGGACCGGGCAGTGTTTCCTTCTGCTGTACATAGGGTCGCTATGAGTTGGAACCAACTCGACGGCACCTAACAACAACAACAATGTAGAGTATTCCCTGCATTTTTACCTGAATGTACCAACATCCAAGGAGTACCTAGGTGGTGCAAACGATTAACATGCTTGGCTGCTAACCGAAAGGTTGGAGGTTCAAGTACACTCAGAGACACCTTGAAAGAAAGGTCTAGTGATCTACTTCCAAAAAATCAGCCATTGAAAACCTTATAGAGAACAGTTGTACTCTGACACACACGGGTCAAAGTCAACTCGAAGGCAACTGGTAACCAACATCTACCTTACAAGGAACTTCAGAGACGAGGAGGAGTGGCCTTATTTTGTATACTGGGGGTTGACGTACCTGTCTGTACTCTCCTCGTTCTGTTGGCTGTCTCTCCATAACTGGTTATTTTGGAACACGTGATAAATGAGAACAAACCCAACTAGTTTTGCTTCTGTTCCTCCCTTTCCCGCTCCCCCGCCCCCTGGACAACTCAAGGTTCCTTTTAGGCTCTGACTGGAGAGCACTTGGGGCTTACAACTGGAGTCATCTCAGTTCTGGCTCACAGACTGTCGCAGCTCTGGAGGGTGTGTGTGCAAGGAAGGAAGCTGTGTGCACACCTGTCTGTGAGCCTGGACGGAGAGTGCTCGGGTTTCGCATCACTTCCTATGTTTTCCGCAATGGTCATCTCACCACATCCCTGCAAGGGGGTGGTGTGGGTATCAATACTCCATTTTACAGATGGGGAAACTGAGACTTAGAGACCTGAAGTGACTTACCCAAAGTCCATAGCAAGTTGGAGGGAGAGTTGGGTGTATAGTCCAGGTATCCAGCCTCCTAGCCTGGTGTCTGCCCCCCGCCCCCCGCTGCCTATGTGTACTTTGCAGACTTAGGTGGAGGCGCCCATTCCAACACGCAGGTTTCTGCCAGCCTGATCACAAACATCCTATGAAGCCTCCTTGCCCACCTCTACCCGCCCCATGGCTTCATGCCATGTGGTAGGAGAGATAGTACGTTCTCCTCTCCTTTGTGTCTCCCTGCCCCTGTATCTCTAAGACACCCACTACTGCTGCTGGCAGACACCACACAAAGGCAAATGAATAGATGACCCAGCTCCAGACCAAACAATAAAATATTTCATAGCATTTTGGGCGAGAAACAATGGCCAACGTCATCTTTCTTGGCATTACTTTTTATTGAGTACAGGCTTACCATTACAGTGTTTAAATAATTTGAATATAATGCTTTCAATATATAGTTCTTTAATCATACATATATTTCTTTGCAGCACAAAACTATAACTTAAACTTGGAAGGCTATAAATACACAAGTACATATTGCCATAAATCTAGAACTATTTTATAAAAATAGAACTAAAATAACAACTTTACATATTTTGGCAACTTAGCAGTATTGTAACGTGGCCACATACATTTTCATTATGCATCACGGCTCTGAAATGACCTTTGCCACATTTCATTTTTCTCTTTGGGGACACCTGGAGTAGCCGCCTTTCCTGGCGTCCCCGCAGAGATGCCCAGGGCTATGGCTCAGTGTTGACTTTGCATAAAGACTCACCAGCCTGCTCATGGAGGGGGAAGACCAGCTTCCAGCCCCTTCCTCAGAGACAGGAGGTGTCCCCTCCTGCCCAGCGCCTGCCAGCCACACTTCTGGAAGCCCTCTCAGTGCTTCCTTTGCTATTTGAATATACAGAGTGAGTTACCTTTTCCTGTGCTTGGAGAGTAGCAGATAGGAATTTGGTTCTGTAGACCAGAGTGAATCATTTAAAGAAAAATTACCCAAACAGTGCTGCAAGGGGAGTCAGCCTCCTAACGGCACGCACCTCTGTCTGCTCACCTGTGCAAGGTCCTTCATGTACGCTTCCCTGACCCTCACCACCTTGCAAGGTAAGGGCTGTTCTTGTCTCCCTTTGTCAATGAAGAGAATTGAGTCTTTGGGTATTTCAGCAGGACTTCCTGACCCCAGAGACTGAGCTCTCTGCCTGCCCAGCAATCCAGTGAACCAGACAACTAGGGCCTCCATCTGGTTATTCAGTAAGGACAGATAAGTGGCTTTGTCTCAACTTCCAGCAGGTGGGCAGCGACTCCTGGATACCCCCTGCAACTTCCCAAAGGCAGAGGGGGAGGTGGATGCCTGAGGGAGGGAGCATGAACCTAGATTATCTAATAGAAATCCTATTTCCAAACTCTTTTTAAGCCTGAAATCAAAACCAGGGCTTAAGGAATTCATTGGTTTGAGCGGGTTGAGTTTTTAAAAAGCTGAGCAAAGATCAAAATGCCTCCCCACCTGCTTCAGTCCAGGTCAAAGTGCAGAGTGCTTTCACAGCCGCTGAAGGAGGAGACGCCTACAGGTTCACGGGCCAGGGGAGTGCTCAGAATGGCACAGAGCATGGCAGGATGGGGGGCCAGGACCCCACGCAGCGGCCTACTGGAACTCGCAGTGGTGGCGAGGGCTGGCTCTGCTTCTCCTCTGGGCAGATGCAGGCTGCCCTTTGCTTTGTGCAATTTTAATTTGCTGGTTGCTTCGCCACTTCCTTTCTCTTGCCCTTTCAGGCTTTCCATGAAAATATGCCCCAAGAGGAAGTATCCTCTGCAATCACAGCCCCTCAGGACAATCCCATCTCTGACTCTCTCCGAACCACCCGCTCTACCAGGCTGCCCGTTAGTGCAGACGCTGGGGGTGCCCTGTTAGTGCAGACGCTGGGGGTGCCCTCTTAGTGCAGATGCTGGGGGTGCCCATTAGTGCAGACGCTGGGGGTGCCCGTTAGTGCAGACACTCGGGGTGCCCTGTTAGTGCAGACTCTGGGGGTGCCCGATTAGTGCAGACTTGCAGGGTGCCCTGTTAGTGCAGACACTCGGGGTGCCCTGTTAGTGCAGACGCTGGGGGTGCCCCGTTAGTGCAGACGCTGGGGGTGCCCTGTTAGTGCAGACACTCGGGGTACCCCGTTAGTGCAGACACTCGGGGTGCCCCTTTGCGCAGACACTTGGGGTGCCCTGTTAGTGCAGACGCTGGGGGTGCCCCGTTAGTGCAGACACTCGGGGTGCCCCTTTGCACAGACACTTGGGGTGCCCTGTTGTGCAGACACTCGGGGTGCCCCTTTGTGCAGACACTCGGGGTGCCCTGTTAGTGCAGACACTCGGGGTGCCCCTTTGTGCAGACATTCGGGGTGCCCCTTTGTGCAGACACTCAGGGTGCCCTGTTAGTGCAGACGCTGGGGGTGCCCCGTTAGTGCAGACACTCGGGGTGCCCTGTTGTGCAGACACTCGGGGTGCCCGTTAGTGCAGACACTCGGGGTGCCCCGTTAGTGCTGGCTCTGGGCCTGGCCATCCCCTCCTCCCAGCCACTCTCAAGCCAGCTGCTGCTCAGGCCCCCGGCTGGCCGGCCGGCAAGGAGCCCTGCTCTGTGCCCCTATACCCCACTTGTAGTCTGAACCCCTGAACACCCTCCAAGTAAAGATGTTTGGGCCACTGAGGTCATTTTCTGAAATTAACGTCAGAGTTGTTTTCTTAAAAACAAACCAAAACAGAAGAAAGCAAGCCCAAAGCAACTGTCTTCGTCCTCCACTGAAACTAACAGACCACCTCGGGGGCATGTTTCGTGGGAAGAGGAGCGGAAAACAACCAGAAAAAGCACAGTGGTGGGACCCTCAGGAAGTGCTGACCCCTACATCCTTACAAGGTGCCCCCTGCTGGGGCTGTTGGCTCCTTTCCCTCCGTCCTTGGCTGTCCCTGAGGCCCCCCGAGGAGCAGAAAGCTGGCAATGACTCTGGGGCAGCAGCAGACTTATGTTTTTTCTTTCTTTTGAACTTGACTGTATGTTTAAAGGAATTTCCCTTCACGTTCCTTTCAGAACAGCCCGGCCAGGTTTTCTGAACTCAGCTGAAGGCTACCTTTGGAGAGGAAAAGAGAAATGCATTCATGGGCCCAGGTCATTATTTTTTCAATTAATTTGGACTTTAAGGGTGTGTGTGTATAGGGAGTGTGTACACTGTAAAAACCTACACCAAACCAAACCCGCTGCCCTCGGGTAGATTCCGACTCATAGTGACCCTATAGGACAGGGTAGAACTGCCCCACAGGGTTTCCAAGGCTGTAATTTTATGGAAGCTGACTGCCACATCTTTCTCCCAAGCAGCGGCTGGTGGGTTAGAACCACCAGCCTTTCAGTCAGCAGCCTAGCACTTAACCACTGCACCAGCAGAGGCCATCCTTAATGCCAAGATCAGACTGCTTGAAATTTGCAAACAAAGCCCCCTACCTGCTCTTTCTCTGTGATTCATTTAGTACATTGCATGTAATAGGGTGACTCATTCTTTTTTTGTGCAAAAACATCACTTGGACATGCTGGGTCCTACCAGGTAGGGAACAGGAGTGCTAGGCTTCCAGAAGGGCAAGGACAAGCCCTACCCTCTGCCCCCCAGGCCAACCTGAGCCAAGCTGGGCTCACTTCCCGTGCCCAGGCCAGAGGGAGCCTCGACAAGAAATGATGATGTCCACGCACAAGTTTTCTCCTAAAACTCCAGCTTTTGTGATGCCTCCATGTAGTCTGTGAGTTGGGCCTGAGGATTGGGGGGCTGCAGAAAGCCAGGGTGAAGGGTGGGAGCAGGGGTTGGAAGGGTCTGGCAGCTGCATGTGGAGCGTGGGGGAAGTGAAACCTAGCAGAAGGAGTCAAGGGCTAGGCCTGGCGGCCTTATCCTTGGCTGCCAGTGGCTTGTCGGTGGCAGGAGGCAGCAGGAGGAAGAGTGCTTGCATTTCAAGCAGGCTTTCCTCCACTGCTTTTGCAAGCTTGCTGGAAGAGGTCTCTTTGCAGCTGTGGAAGCTGGAGATGCAGAAGAGGATGTTCTCAGGCTGTGGGTTGTAGCAGGCACCATACCCGTTGGGGACCACAGGACCATAGCAGCAGAACATCTCCATGGTTGTGGGCACCTGCAGGGGAAGACAGGTCAGGGGTGCTTGTTCTGAAATACAGCCCGAGAGCCTGATAGAATTGGGGTGCTGGAGCAAAGTGAGATACTCGGACAGTGTGGGCACGGGAACAATGTGGGTGCTCAGACAATGCGGGAGCCTCAACCTCATATTTTGTTCCTCTGATGACTCTTTCCCACTGTGTGTCTGACTGAGTTAACCAGGTCCACCAACTACCTGAGCACAGCCATGCTCAGAAAAAGAAGCCCGTCTAACTTACCTTTTAGAGATTCACCCGCATGAGATCAGAGGAAGAAGAGCAACAAGCCACTCCCCGCAGTGAACAGCTTTCCTTGCGGAATCAGCCGCTCCAGGAGTGAGCTGGCGCAGGGTCTGGGTTGAGTGTCTCCTTCATTTGTGGGCCATTTGATGCACCGAGCAATCAGGTAATTTACTAAATGGCCCTCTGATGGCACCTGACAGTTGAATGACTTCCCAGAGGGAATCATTTAAGAATTGGAGGAAATCTGGCCCGTCTTCTCTGACACTCTTCCCCAGATCCTTAATTACTGTCAGGACTGCCTGGCTAGTCTGCTTTCCCCCACAGCCTGGCCATGCACAATTACCCAGCATTGGGGATTTGGAAGACTGCCCTTAACTGGAGTTTTAGTTATGCACCTAATATACTTTGAATTTACAGTTCTGAGATTTTGTAATCTGGGATCACAAAACAAGGAAATGTGTTTCTGAAGGTATTCAAGTTCTAGGTGCTATTTTTCTTTCCAGTTGAAAAATACCACCACAACCCAAATTAAATTTATGAGCTGTTCCTAGGAGGAAAATAGCATCCATGGGCAGGTGCAGGGTGGCGTTTGTTTTAAACACACACAGGTTTGTGGTGTTGTGTGCTTGGGCCTTCGGAAGTGACACTGACCATTTTAATGGGACAGAACAAGCCATTAGTCTTGCTAATAGAGTCGCCGCCTTGTCAGATAAATTTGCCGTGCAGCAGCCGCCGGCCACAGAGCCTTTGGAAGCACCTTTTGCCCGTGGATGGTTTCCTAAAGAACTGACGTTGTACCCTGCCCTCCCTCATTCATGTCTGCAAACTCACTGCCGCCATGGCAAAAGTGAATGCCTGAGTGGGCCTTTATCTGCCGGCACAACTTTATCAGCCCCTTGGCCAACGTCCAGCCTTTTCTGGATGAGGTGGAGCTTTAGCAAATACAGTGGGGGTAGTTCCTCTCCTAGGAGTCCCTGGTTGGCGCAAACGATTAAGTACTTGACTACTAACAAAAGTTTGCCGGTTCAAACCCACTCAGAGGTGCCTGAGAAGAAAGCCCTGGCGATCTGCTTCTGAAAGATCACAGCCACTGAAAACCCTATGGGGCACAGTTCTACTCTGAAACACATGGGGTCGCCGTGAGTCGGAATCCACTCGACAGCGGCTGGTTTACTTCGTCTCGTAAACTGTTGCCTCTCTAGTGGAGTTCTTTCTGTCACTGGGACAGTGGTCCTCCAACAGAACGAGCCACAGCCCTGGTTAGGAAACACCAGGCTGAGAGGCTCATCTTCCCAGGCTGTTGGCTGCACGCCCTTTGTAATAACGCTCGAGGCTGGCTTGGAGGGCCTCGTCCAGCCAGGCACGGTGCTCGGCTTTCTACTCACTTTGTTGCATCTGGCTGAGCCAGAACTTCACTTCCAGCCAGGGGGCTTCAGAGCTTGTGGTCACCATGATGTAATGCTACCTCTTAGGCCATGGTTTGAAAGGTATACAGCATAATGGTTAAGGCATCAGGCTGGGTGGGCTCCCAGGCTGTCTCCACCTCTGCTGGGGTAGAGCTAGGATTCTCCTGTTTAGAAGGTGGGGACACCAGTGTGCTGAGAGTTTCAGTCATGTTGTTGAAGGTCACATGGCTCCTAAGAAGCCATGTGTTAGGGGCTGAATTGTGTCCTCTCAAAAGATATGTTCAAGTCCTAATCCCTGGTACCTATGAATGTGACCTTATCTGGAAGTTATAGACGAAACTGTGTCCCTGCAAACTCTGTGTTGGAACCCTAACCCCTATAGCAAACTCTGTGTTGTAATCCTAACCCCTATACTTGTGGATATAATCCTATTTGGAAATAGGGCTTTCTTGGTAGGGTGTGTCCTAAACGCAACCACTCCTGAGTTACAAAAGAGCAGATGAGACACAGAGGGTAAGCACAAATGGGAAAGACAGATACCACATGGAGACCACCAAAGAGCTGAGGAATGCCAGGAGACAAGGGTCTTTCCCAAGAGCCAACAGAGAGCCTTCCCCTAGAGCCGGGGCCCTGAATTCGGACTTCTAGCCTCCTGAACTGTGAGAAAATAAACGTCTGTTCTTTAAAGCCACCCCCTGGTGGGATTTGTTACAGCAGCGCTGGGAGACTAAGACAGGATCTTTGCAAATGGCGTTAGTTACGTCAACATTAGGCCATACTGGAGCAGGGTGCGCTCTAAGCCAATACGACTGGTGTCCTTCTTAAGAAGAGAAGAGAAGACACAGACGATGGCGGCAGAGATTGGAGTGATGTTGCCACAAGCCAAAGAATGCGTGGTGCTGCCAGAAGCTGGGTGAAACAAGAAATGACCCTCGCCTAGTGCCTTCAGAGAGCATGGCCTTGCTCACACCCTGAATTCGGACATCCGGCCTCCAGATGTCAATACATCTCTGTTCTTTAAGTGCCCAGGTTGTGGTGCTCTGTTCCGGCAGCCCTGAGATGCCCATGTGGGCAGCAAGCCCCTCACAAAGTTAACTCATGATGCCAAGTGCACAGGCCTCTCAGCGCTGGCTGCGCTAGGACTGTACCTGGCTGGTGGAGAGGACAAAATGGTTACTCATCAAGTACGTTTCCTCCGTGAACATCTCGGGCAGCTCCTTGCACACTTCCCGGGCCAGCTCCCGCAGGGCCAGCAGGTGGTTGTCGATGGCCATGCCTGTTAAGGCCTGCGAGTTGGGGACAAAGAACAGGAAAGGTGAGGAGGGATCCGCTCGCCCCCTCCTCCCCTCTCTCCAGTTCATGGGCACAGCACGATGGTGTGCGGTTACCCGGAGCTGCTGTTCACAGCTTGTGGTGTGGCCTGCGCTCCGTGGGCCCGCACATTTCTACGTGCATGGAATGAGTTCAGAGCTACTTGGGCTTTACCTTCAGGGTGTTCCAGTTGAAGGTCACTGAGACACTCCCTCCCCCATCTCCACACACACAAAGCTGGTGTTGCTGACCTGACATATGAACGACCCGATGGTGCTCTAATGGGAAGAGTGTGGACCTGGCCACCTTAGCACTACCTCCTGGGTGGGGGGACGGTGCTCCTGAATCTTGTCTGCTATTTCATGGGCCCAGAATCAATTCAGCTAAACTGGATTCGTAATCTAAGAAAGTATTTTGAAGCAGGAACAGGACACTTTACCAGAGGCTCACTTGATGTTTTCAAGGGAAATCTAGTGGAATGATGAAAGGGTTTCCCCTTTTTTTTACAAGATATTTAAGTTCTCAAAGGATAGGATAATAGCAGAGCTGGATCCCAAATCACTGTATAGGAGGGGCTCAGGAATGGGAGTGTGGCTGGAAGTAGGGCTACGGTACATTTTTTTTTTTTTTAATTGTGCTTTAGGTGAAAGTTTACAGAGCAAATTAATTTATCATTAAACAATTAATATACAAATCATTTTGTGACATTGGGTGCCAATGCTGTAATGTGTCAACACTCTCTCCTTCTCCACCCTGGGTTCCTCATTTCCATTCATCCAGTTTTCCTGTCCCTTCCTGCCTTCTCGTCTTTGCTTTTGGGCTGGTGTGACCATTTAGTCTTATGTACATGGGTGAACTATGGAGCACCTTCCTCACATGTGTTACTGTTTGTTTTATAGGGCTGTCTGATCTTTGGCTGAAGGGTAAACTTCAGGAGTTACTTCAGTACTGAGTTAAAAGGGTGTCCAAAGACCGTACTCTTGGGGTTTCTCTAGTCTCCGTCAGACCAGTAAGTTTGGTCTTTTTTTGTGAGTTTGAATTTTGTTCTACATTTTTCTCCAGCTCTGTCCAGGACCTTCTATTGTGATCCCTGTCAGAGTGGTTGGTGGTGGTAGCTGGGCACCATCTAGTTGTTCTGGACTCAGTCTGGTGGAGGCTGTGGTAGTTGTGGTCCATTGGCCCTTTGGACTAATCTTTCCCTTGTGTCTTTGGTTTTCTTCATTCTCCTTTGCTCCAGATGGGGTAGGACCAAAAGACATATCTTAGATGGCTGCTCACAGGCTTTTAAGACCCCAGACGTTACTCATAAGAGTGTTTTATATTTCTTCCATAGCAGGCACATTGTTCTTGCTTGGGTCACATGTTTATTTAGGGTCACATTGGGGGGTGATGGAGATTTGGAGGCCACCCCTGGCTTCTAGCAATAACCTTTGAGTCAAAATTAGAGTAATGAATGATTACTCTATAAGCCCCCCCACATACACCCCATGACACCATAAGCCCCATGAGGGCTGACTTTACAAGTTAAACTCTTGTGAGCTTAACAGTTATATAAGATGACCAATTTGCTGTTAAAACTCACAAAGGGAGAAACCTCCAACCACAATTAACTTTGTTTTAGTTTTACAAGGCACGTTTTGGGTTTTGACAGCTGTTCCTTTCAGTTGAGAATGAATGCATAGAGATGAATGTGAGGCCCCAGTCACTCCAAATGCACCTAATTATATGCTGAACAAAATAAGTTATACAACCACAGTTCATTTTAGACGTGGCCCCATTAGGATAGAGGGGGAGAACTATGAGCTGATGTAAGAAGTAAAGTTCACTATTAATTTCTCTGGTTTCCTCAGTTTAATCCCTGGATTGTGAAGGTACACAGAAGCAGCTGCTCTGTGGAGCAGTCAAGCCACCCATTTTTACCAGCTCTGAACTGACTGTAACACCTGGAGTCGAGTTAACAGATTGTTTGGATTAAAGCCATGAGTAGCAATGAGTAAAATGGCTCATCATTCAGTCTCATTCATTCTGGGAATCTGAGTGCTCACTATGTGTCGGATGCTGTCAGGTTCTGGAGCTACAATAGAGAACAAAGCCATTGTAGACTCAGCCCTCATGGAGCTTATGGTGTCATTGGGGGGTAGATAGTAATCATTCATACAAATAAATATGTGATCATAAATTGAAGCAAGTGCTATGAAAGAAGAGGATGGGGGCTGGGAAAGCCCATGATAGGGGACATGGACCACACTTGCTCCATCTCTGGAATTTCCTTTTTTTGTTACCATTTGTTATAGATTGAATTATCTCCCCCCAAAATATGTGCCGGAATCCTAACTGCTATACCTGGGGATATAATTCTATTTGGAAATAGGGTTTTTTGTTATGTTAATGAGGCCATGTAATTATTTATATAGTTTAAAAAGCCAAGGAAACCAATGGCTTACATCACTTTGCCATTGCTAATTCTCATTCTATCTACAGAGGCAACCACTTTCAACCCTTTTAGCTACTTCTTTTGGTATTTACTTCCATAGCTTTAAATAACAGGATTAGACTGCCATTACTGTATTTTTTCAGTTTTACATATAATCTTCTGACGGTAGATGAAGCTTTAGCTGTTTTGTAGCCTTCTCCCCCAAACACACTTCCACTATCCCATTCTCCCAACAGAGTTACATTTTAACTCTGTTGTTTGATCAACACTCAGTGTTTACATGATTATAAGTACACAAATATTCACAACTGAGCCATGTAGTATACTATAATTAGATTTCCTTTCTTATTCAATTTTTTGTTTTCCCTAGAATTGATAATTTTTAAACTATTGTGGGTTTTTTTTTTAACTTGCTTAGCTTTCTAAGTATCTGTTACTAGTTACTTCCCAAATATTCAGCCAGAAGTGTAAAGCTTCCCTTAATACATTAAAATACATCATCAGATAATCTATCAATCTCATTCCTCTGCTTACTTCTTGCTCCTCTATGAAATGATTGCTCCCTAGGTCTGCTGAACAGCTGCTAACTTTATTTCATCCTCTGGAGTCCCTTTATCTCTTTCTTGTGCTGAATCTTCTGATTTTTTTTGGAGCCTATGACTTATTTTATGCTTTATTCTCTCAATTTAGTGGTCTATATCCTCCAGTAGCTTTATGAGAAAAAGTACTTAGTAAGTAAAAATTTTTGAGACCTTGTCTGTTGGAAAATGTCTTCATTCTACCTTCACACTTGGTGATGGTTTAGCTGGGTGTAGAACGTTTGTTGAACATAATTTTCCCCCAGAAACTGAAGACCTTTCTCCCCTGTCTTCCATCTCAGTGATGCTGTTGAGAAATTCAATTCCATTTTGATTCCTGGTTTTTGTATTTGATTTATTTTTCCTTTCAGAGAGACTTCAGGATCTCTCTCTCTTTTTAGGATCTCTTAATATTGTGAAATTTCCTTGGTATGAGTATTTTAACCTATTACTGAAGGAATTTGTAGGCTCTCTCAATGTATAAACTCATGTCCTTCAGTTCTGGGAAATTTTCTTGAATTATTTTGTTGCTCTCACCCCCTTCCCCATCAGCCTCACCATCACCACATACGCCCTGTTTTCTCTTCTCGAACACCTATTATTTGGGAGTTGGTCCACCTGAACTGAGCCTGTATTCTCTCCTATATTTCATCTCTTTATTTTGTTGGTATTTGGGGGAGATTGTCTCAGCTTTATCTTCCAATCCTTCTATTGAATTTTTTTTACTATCGTATTTTTTTCCCCAAGAGTTATTTTTATTTCCTGAAAAAGATTTAGAGGGTTTCCTGTTCTTATTTATAAGGAACCGTGGTGGTACGGTGGTTAATGTGCTCAGCTGCTAACCGGAAGGTCGGCGGTTTGAACCCACCAGGCGCTCCTCTGGAGAAAGATGTGGCAATCTGCTTCCATAAAGATTTACAGCCTTGGAAGCCCAATGGGGCAGTTCTACTGTGTCCTATAGGGATGCTATTGGTTGGAATCAATTTGACGGCAATGGGTTTTGGTTCTTATTTATGAATACAATAATTCCCTTATCTTTTAGAGGATCTCAATTATAATTAAAATTTTTTTTTCTGTTTCCTGTATTATTTTCATTTCCTTTGAGTTCTTTTTAAAATATCTGTTTATTTTTATTGGTCTCAGTCTTTCATGTTAGCAGCTTTCCTCGATGTCTGGTGATCTATGGCTATCTGTCTATATTTAATAATAAAGCGCTGAAAAGATGATTAAATTATATGCGTGTGAGAATGTGCTTGTCAACTGGTGGGCTTCACTGTGGGGTGAGCTGGTTGGGTGTTTTCATTAGAGGACCTCAACTCTCAGTACCTGTAAGTCTGTTCTCTTGGCCTGATGAGTTTCGCCACGGAGAAATCTTTTAATCTCCTGCTTGGGGGAGAGGGTGCTAATAAAGCTGGTCCCCAGTATACCTGGAGCTGGATGGCTGGGAGGCTTACTATTGAATAAGTAGACTTTCATTAATCTCTCCATTTTCTGTAAAGTATCTTCTCCTTCAGCTGTACCTGGTATCCCCAAGTCTATAGTTCCTCTTGTTCAGTCTCTCCAGAGAATAAATGTCTAGTTCACCACTGAGGATGGGTTAGGGTAGTAGCCTGGCTACATGTGGTGGTGGAAAGGATCTGAGGGCCTAATTGCTTCTTATATAGATCATCAAGCAATCTTCTTCTGTTCAGCCTTACATGTACCCCACTTTTTGTGGATGCCAATGCCTGAACCATTCTGAAGTCCTGCAGAGCAATTCATTGGGCTCTTAAGCTACCCCCATTGTTTGCTTGGATTTCCACTTTCTCTGGTCTGCTAAGTTAGTTACCATCTGTTCTACTTTCAGTTCTAGAATTTTTCTGTTACCTCCCTTCCCATTCTATTTGTCTTAGTGGATTTATGGCTTTGCTATTGTTTTAGAGGGGTTCAGGATTGAGTGAAAGTAAATGCTTATATTCAATCCACTATGTTTAATCAGAAGTTTGTCTCTTCCTCTTCAACCCCCACTGCCCCTGCCCTGTTGCTGTTAGCTGGCTTTGAGTGGCCCGACTCATGGCAACCCCCTGCACTACTTCAGTCTTTATACCAACTCTCCCTGAATATTATATAGGCTCCTAATTAGTATCTCTGCCTCTTGGAAAATCAACCCGCTACCCCAACCAATCCTTCTTCTACCTGGTCTATCAGAGTAAGCTTTGTAAGAGGGAAATCTGAAATCATGAACTTTCCTGATTCTCTTTCCCTTGCAAAGTGCACATCCTGAACCTCTTCCTTTTCCTTGAGTATGTCTTATTTTCTCAAGACTCTTTCACTTTTCACATGTGCTGTTCTTTTCTTGGGCCATCCTTCCCTTTTTATGCCTGCCCAATAAACACCTCTTCGTCTTTCAAATCTCACGTGAAGCACCAGATCCACTGTGACGCCTCCGCCAAGCAGGGTGAAGAGCTCGTCCTCTGTGCCCTTTATCACTTCCACAGGGGCTCTCTTCATAAGAGATTGCACTTACCAGCATAAAGGCTCTCCTCCCAACTAGATGATAAACCCCCTAAGGATAAGCCATGTGGATTTTCATCTTTAGTTTCTTGGCACCCAGGGACTGGCCTGCCATAAAGCAGGAGAACAAAACATACTTGTTGGGTACACGAGAGTGTGCTTTATTTTCCTCAAGCAGAACAAACACTTAACTGTTCAGATGAATGAGGGACCTAGCAACTGCTTTAGAGAAACGTCAAAATTGGCTAGTTCTAAAAGCCAGAGATGCATTGTCCTTGTTGTCAAGTAGACAGAGTGAAATGCAGTCAAGATTTTTTCACAGAATATATGATCCTTCAAAAACTATATCAGAACGATTTGCAATTAACACATCGATCGCTAGTATAAGTAGTAGCTTATTCTCTGTTGTTTGTATGCAAATGACAGCTTTGCAGGGCTAGAAAACAAATTATTTCCCTAAACTAGGGAAACATTTCCTTTCCAATTTTGATTTCACTATTAATTTTAAGCAATTTTTTTTATTCCTAGGTAGGATAAATACATACATGGAGAACCAGAAGGTACACCTCCCCTAGGTGGGGAACAAATACTGCTCTACCTGTGATTGTGCCAGGTGTGCAAGCCTCCATCCTTTGCTAGGCTCTAGCCCCATCCCCTCACGTTGGACTCCTCTTGCTGTATAAACTGTAAAGTGCTATGTATATCGGGTGCCATTATTATCGTTGCTGTTCGAAAATCACTCATTGTATGCTTGGGAGATTCGTGTGGAATAAAAGAAAAGAGTGGTATTACTACCACGAGAGGTGGGGTGGTACTGCCGTCACTGGGCAGCTGGTGGCCGAGCTCATACACGGTGTGGTGCCATGCCACCACTCCTGGAGGTCCAGGCACCACACGCTGGCATAAGCTCAAGCTTGAGGTTGTGCCATGCCACTCACCATGACTGTGTACTCGGTCTGTGCCCGGATGGCATCCTTCAAGAGCAGCAGCTTCTCTGAATCCTGTCAAACAGACCAGAGAGGGAGCACACAGGGCTTTAGAAGTCGGCTTAACAAGAAACAGAGCAAAGAAGCTGGTTGTCCAGGAGCCAAACAGGCAGGCAGCCCCCCAGCTGCTGTGCCAGCTTCTCTGAGTGACTCCTCAGGACTCACCGAGGTGGCTGCCTTGGGGTCAGTCATGGCTTTCACAAAAGCCAGGGCTTCTGGAGTGGCTGATCGGATGTTGTCCACCCGTCCCTCCTGGAACCGGCGAATGGACGCGCTCTCGTAGGTGGGTACGAGTCTCCCGTGGCACCTGCATGAGATGAAGTAGAAATGGCAAACAGTAATTTATTCCTGGGGAAACATAAATGCTGAAAGAAAGATAGCTGCAGCAAGCTTTATTTTCACAGCCCCGACTTTGGTTGGCATAGTATTTCATTTTAATGTTAATAGGATTCTAGAGGAGATTTTCCAAAGATCAATGATGGAAAGTCTCTAATATGAAGAGCTGGGTACACACTTATACATATTTGTGATTCTGCATGGATATAAAGATTTTTAAGTGTGACTGGTAGCTTTGAAAAAATCCAGATCTAATAGGAAATCTAGACTTTTCTGTGATAATCTGATGAGTGTTTGATTAATATCACAGAATGTAATAATTGTATAATTAATCATTCACACTCTTGAGGGAATTGTGCTTAATTTAAAACAATTCAAGCATAGCCTATGCCTCTAGGCAGGGAGGGGGCTTAGTGGTTCTGGAATGTGAACTGTAGCCCAGGTCCATGTCTCCAGCGTGTTATGGACTGAACTGTATCCCCACAAAATACAAGCTGAAGTACAACTGCCCACCCCCACCACCGTGAACATGACCTTGTTTGGAAATAGCGTCTTTGAAGATGTCATCATTTAAGCTGAATGAAGCTATACTGGCCTTCAGGTTGGTGGTTCAGTGGTAGAATTCTCGCCTTCCATAGGGGAGACTCAGGTTCCACCAATGCACCTCATGCACAGCCACCACTCGTCTGTCAGTGGAGGCTGGCATGTTGCTGTGATGTTGAATAGGTTTTAGCAGAGCTTACAGATTAAAGCTGGACTAGAAAGAAAGGCCTGGGGATCTACTTCTAAAAATCAACCAGTGAAAACCCTGTGGATCACAACAGTCTAATCTGTAACCAATTATGAGGACGGCACAGTACAGGGTAGCATTTCATTCTGTTGTGCGTGAGGTTGCCATGAGTGGGGGGCCACCTTGACAGCAGCTAATAAAACAGCCCCAACCTACTGGAGGAGGGGGATCCGAATCCAGCCTGAGTGATGTCCTCATGAGAGAGAAGAGAAACAGAGAAATGCACAGAGGGATGACTACCCTGAGAAGATGCACCTTCAAGCCAAGGAAGTCTGGGGCCACCGGAAGCTGGGAGAGAAAAGGAAGGATCTTCCCCTAGAGCTTTCCGAGCCTTCGTGGCCCCACTGACACCCTGATCTCAGATTTCTAGCCTCCAGAACTGTGAGACAATAAATTCCTATTGTTTTCAGCCACCCACTTAGTGGTACTTGGTTATGGCAGCTCTAGGGAACGAAGACACAGGGGCAGTCGGACTTCCAGCAGACCTGTCTCCTCACCCACTTCCTGGGACCAGAGTAGCAGTGACCTCTCCACCTTCATCCAGAGAAAGCCTCTCTCCTGTAGCCCATGGGCTGAGCCTGCCCTCCTCAGCTCGCACACTCTTTTCTCACCAGTCAATAAAGTCCCTTGGTGATGGAGGTGGGGGAGGAGAAAGACACAGAGCTCAGACAGAGGCACGTAGCAGGCCCTGCATCTTGGCCCTCTCTGCACGCTTCTCCCCACACGGTGAGCTCTGGGACACAGAGATCATGTCTGATTCAGCACTGTGCTGGCACTGTATTACTTGGGGATGAGTGAATAAATTGCGTGGACGTTTATGTCTGGTCTCCTGAAGATTCTGGCAGAGGCACATTTTCCATGTCTCATGATCCCTGATGGTCCCTGGGTGGTGCAAATAGTTAATGTGCTTGCTACTAACCAAAAGGTTGGAGGTTCAAGTCCACCCAGAGGCACCTCAGGAGAAAGGGCTGGAGATCTACTCCCAAAAAAATCAGCCACTGATGAAGGGCACGACAGTACACAATACTGGGGAAGCCAGCACAATTTGTACAAGGAAAGGTCATGGAAGCTCCATGGACGCATCCAAACTCTCTGAGGGACTGAATTGCTGGGCAGAGGGCTGTGGGGACCACGGTCTCAGGGAACATCTAGCTCAACTGGCATAACACAGTTTATAAAGACAATGTTCTACATTCTACCTTGGTGAGTAGCGTCTGGGGTCTTAAAAGCCTGTGAGCAGCCATCTAAGATTCTCCATTGGTCTCACCCCTTCGGGAGCAAGGGAGAATGAAGAGAACAAGATACAAGCAAAAGATTAGTCCAAAGGACTAATGGACCACAGCTACCACAGCCTCCACCAGACTGAGTCCAGTACAGCTAGATGGTGCACCGGTTACCACCACTATGCTCTGACTGGGATCACAAAAGAGGGTCCTCGACAGAGCTGGAAAAGGATATAGATCAAAATTCTAACTCACAAAAAAAAAAAAAAAAAGACCAGATTTACTGCCTGACAGACTGGAGAAACCCTGAGAATATGGCCCCCGGACACCCTTTTAGCTCAGTGGTGAAGTCACTCCTGAAGTTCACCGTTCAGCTGGGGATTGGACAGCTTCATAAAACAAAATGGGACTAATGAGGCACAGCAGTCCAGGGACAAAGACTAGAAGGCAGGAGGAGACAGGAAAGCTGGTGATAGGGAACCCAAGGTTGAGAAAGGACAGTGTTGACATGCCGTAGGGTTGTTAACCATTGTCATAGGGCAATATGCGTACTAACTGTTTAATGAGAAACTATTTGTTCTGCAAACCTTCATCTAAAGTACAAAAAAAAAAAAAAGAATTATCTATGTGAGATCAAATGGATAACAGCAACTCAAAAGGTTTGATGGGAAGCCTAGGGGACAGTGAGTTGAAGATAATGGTGATGGAATAATTTGGAAAAGGACAGTGAGAATAGCAGCACAACTGGAAGAATGTAATTGATGTCACCGAATTGCACATGTAGAAACTTTTGAAATGGTGTAACTTTGGCTGTGTATATTTTCACCAAACAAAAAGGCCCTCCAAGGTAAAAAAGGGAGAGTGTTGACATGTTGTGGGGTTGTTAACCAATGTCATAAAACGATATGTGTACTGACTGTTTAATGAGAAACTATTTGTTCTGTAAATCTTCGTCTAAAGTACAATAAAAAAAATTAAAAAAAAAAAAAAACAGCCACTGAAAACCCTATGGAGCACAGTTCTACGCTGACACACGTGGGGCTGCCATGAGTCAAGACTGACTTGATGGCAACAGGTTTGGTTGGATTTTCATGGTACCTAGAGGCAAATACTATGCTGAGCACAAAAGTGGACACTGTCAGTGGCTGCTTTTAGGCTGCCACTTAGGTGGCTTCAAGGTCTCCGCCAAATCTAAGAATAGGTTAAAAATATTTGTGTTATAGTTTAGACTCTGAAGGATTTTATCCCTGGGAAACAGATCATATTTTGGCTATTTCAGGAGCCCAGGAGCCTCTGGCCATGCTCACTCCTGGCCATGCCCGCTCCTGGCCATATCCAGACACTGTGGCGGGGTGCTCTGGGTAAGTCCACCAACCCCTCTCAGCCGAGGGGTCCAAGAAGCTGGTCCAAGCAGCATCCCCAATCACAGCTCCAGCAGACCCCTACCTTGTGACCCATTTTAGCCACGTGCCGTCCGAGTATCCATCAGAACGGCTTGCGGCTGCAAGTCCAGGTCCCGCCATCTCACATGCCAGTGAGACGTCAGTGTCTGTACATCATGTGGGGCGACGTTTGCCTTCCCCAAGGGCTCTGCACGGAGGAGGCTCAGCGTGGGTGCATGCACATCCCTGCGAGTTACAGCCCTGTGGGCAACAAGGGGCTGCCGTGGACCACAGGTGCTGCCGCGGACATGGGGGCTGCCGCGGACATGGGGGCTGCCGCGGACACGGGGCTGCTGCTCCTTGGTGAGGCCTCCCTACCCCAGCTTTACTGCAAGGTCACTATATGCCCCCATGGATGTGCCAGTTTCCTTCTCGGGCAAACTGAAGGCTGGTACTGGTGGGGACAGCACTTTACTGCCTGTGCCAGGCAATTTTATGAGCTGTGGCTTCAGAAGCCAACTGAGCCACCCCTGCCTCGAGGAAGGTCTATTTTGCATTTGGTTTTAGTTCCGTATAGAAGGCCACCTTGTTCCCTACCTTTGCCTTCAATCTTTACCTCCCTGCTCTTCTCTCCCCTCCCCCAACACACAGCTAACAGCATGGGGATTTTTCTGACTCACAGACCTCACCTAGCCACCCTTGTACACTTCTGTAGTGTCATCGCATCTCCTTGGCTCAGCTAGTCTGTCTCTGCTGGTCTAGTCTGTACCACGCATGGTGAGGCCCTGGAGACAAAGAGGTACCCAAGATGCCCAAAATGTCATGGTTGGGGAAGACAGTCTAGAAAACAGTCAACAAATCAATTCATAAGGCCCCTCGCATTAATAAGAGCCCTGGTGGTACAGTGGTTAAGAGCTCGTCTGCCAACCAAAAGGTCAGCAGTTCAAATCCACCAGGCGCTCCTTGGAAAACCTATTGGGGCAGTTCTACTCTGTCCGATAGGATTGCTATGAGTCAGAATCGACTCAATGGCACCTAACACACAACATCACATTAATAATGATTGCATAAAAGGAAAAGAAAACACCTGTGATGTGATGGAGCTGGGTGTCGAGAGGAGATGAGGTGGCTGCTTTAGATCAGGTGGTCAGGAAGGGCCTCTGAGGAGGTGACACCTGTGCTGAGAAGGAACTGGCCAGCTGAGGAGAGGTAGGAACTGGCGAATGGGCAGAACAAACAGCGGGTGCAAGGTCTTGAGGACAGAGAGGGCTGGGAGTGGAGAGTCCCCAGGTGAGGCCAGGGAGGCTGGCAGCGGCCAGCTCATCAGGGGCTTTTCCAAAGCATGGATTTTGTTCTGAGCAGGTGCGAAGCCGTTGGAAGGTTTTAAGGTGGTAAGTGATAATCTGATTTGCCTATTTCAGAGTTTGCTCTTACTGCTTGATGAAGACAGGATTATAGGGGCAGGAGTGGAAGTGCCGAGACCAGCTAGCTGGGAGAGTGTTGCAGATGAAGCACGAGCTGCTGGTGGCTTGGGAGAGGCCCATGGCAGTGGAGGTAGAGAGGATGGATTGGAGAGATACTTTGGAGGAGGATGGACATGGGCGTGTGGGGAGTGAGAGAAACAGAAGAATCAAGATGAGTCCAAAATCTTTGACTTTCCAACTTGATGGATCTGGTTCCATTTAGTTATCATGTTTGGAAAGACTGGGAAGGAACAGGTTATAACTACGGGAGCTGGTGGAGAGAGGTAAGGCACAATCAAAATGAAGAGCAAGCTCTTTAACCCAGTTCCTTGGGCCCCCCTGATCTGGTCCCACCTACCTCAAGGTCCTCACCACCCACCTGGCCCTCCTTACCTCTGCTCTCAGCCACTTTGGGTCACCTGCCTCTAGGCCCTTGTCAGGCAGCTCTTCCGATGGGAGCATTCTTCCTCCTCCTATCTGAGGTTGGATTCTTACTTTGAAGTCTAGTTCAGGAAGCCTCTCCCTCCACGATCATCCTCCCCTCCTCTAGGCCCACAGAAGGCTGTCACTCCCACAACTGTGCTTCCAGATACTAGGATCTTGAGCACCTTGTCTGCCAGCCCACTTGGCAAAGACCTATTCTGCTGTCAGGTTTGGCTCACCTGTAGAAGGCCAGCTGGAGGGCCACCTGAATGAAGGCATCTGGGCTGCATTTCTGCTGCTTAATGAATGTTTTCCCGTAGTAGTTAAACTTATGAACAGTGAAATCAAGGTTCTTCACGATCCTGTGGGAGGAAGAGAAGATGCTTTAGTTGCATGTAGAAGAGAATGTGCACATCCCTGAGTCTGACCAGCTTTCTCTAGCACAGCTGATGTCCCAGCACCCTGAAGATGAGGACCAGTCCTTTTGCCGGAGGAACGAGCTGGCAGTCAGAGACAGGCCTTGACGTAGAACTGTGGCAGGGGCGCACCGCACCATGGGTGACTCTGAGCTGAGGGTGAGGCTCGCTGTGAAGGGTGGGCTATGCTCTGGT